CACACACACACACACACACACACACACACACTCACAATCAATCAATCAATCAATCAATCAAACCTTTTTTTTTTTCAATTTTTTTGTTTATTTATTTTTAAATTTTGTATCTTTATTTTTCTAAAACACCTCCTACCCCTGCAAAAAACAGAAATTCGTTTCCAAAAAATACAGGTGACCTCAGGGACCATATATCTGATGATAAAAAATGACAAAAAAAAAATCCAACTTTTCTTTATATATATATTTTTATTTTTTTTTAAATCGAATTTAGTTTTTGATTTTATAAAAATCTGAAACAAAGTCGGATTCCAAAAAAACAAATATGGGGTTGTAGGACTTAAAATTCCCTAGAACCCCATATATTGTTTTTTTTTTTGAGCCTATTATTTAATTCAAAAAAATTTTGGTAAAATCGGGTCCGTGGCGTGGACCACGTAGGCCGCGGATGCGGACCCGTCTGCGTCCGCCATCCGAGATTGGACCCGCGGACGCGTCCGCGGGTGTTACATAGCTGTTGGGGCGTGAGGTGGCAAGGGAATTAAATTCAGAAATTTCGAGAATCGTTCGACGATCACCATTACCTGCGAATAACCGTTTCTGCTCTTCTTCCTCATGTCCGTGAAGTCGATGGAAACAGACTCACCCGGACCATCAGGGATAGGAAGAGGGTGTAACAGCCCATAGGGTTTCTACCGAGACGGTTTAATGCGTTGACAGACTTCACATTCAGCCACAAACCTTTGTGTCATTCTTTTCATACCAGGCCACACAAACGTTTGCAATAAATTTCCGTATGTCTTTTCCACACCGAAGTGTCCACTCCGGTCATGGGCCAAATCCAGAAGGTGAGTGAGGATTGGCTGATGGTTGGGCACACACAACCGGTCATGTTTCCCGTAGCGTCAGAAAAGAAGACCCTTACATTCATGGAAATCATGCTGACTGCTAGGGTCAGCCCGAATCTTCTCAAGGATGGGACTGAGTTCCGGATCCTTGGCAGTATGCTCGATGAGTTCCTCCTTCAGATTTTTACGCAGGTCGTAGGAACCCACAAGGCAAGTCATGTACTCCGGGTGGTGCGACAAAGCATCCGCAACGCGATTGTAACAGTCTTTCTTGTCCTTAATCTCAAAGTCATACACAGCAATCTCATGCAGCCAACGGGTTAGAGTAGTTGAGGGATTATTCTTTGTCTGAACCCATTTCAAGGTCTCATGGTCTGAGAACACCTTGAAATGGCGACCCAAGAGGTAGTGCTTCCAGTGGTCTAGTGTCTCTCTCAAGGCATAGAGTTCTCGCATGTAGGTGGAGGCAGCTACCTTGTGAATGGGCATACGTTTGCTGTAAAACTCTAGCGGACGTAGGCCGTCGTCGTCATCTTGTTTCAGCACTGCACCAATCCCATACATACTGGCATCCGTAGTTACTACGAATGTGAGTTTGGGATCTGCAATGCGGAGCACCGGATGATTCACCAAAGACTCCTTTAATGCTGCGAAGGCTGTCGTGCATTCCCCATCCCATGTGTAAGACACATTCTTGCTAGTCAATCTAGACAGTGGACGGGCGGTGATAGAAAACTTAGGCACAAACTTGCGGTAGTAGGACGCAAGACCAAGAAAAGAACGCAACTCGCGAACATTCGCCGGTTGAGGCCAATTGCGGATGACCTCAACCTTGGTTGCCTCAGGCTCTAGGCCTTCAGCAGACAACCGGTGCCCAAGGTAGATGACGCTGTCCCTCCCAAACTTAGATTTCTCCAAGTTGAGATGGAGTTGCGCTTCCTTGAGGACCTGCAACACTTCCTCAAAATGTCTCATGTGTTCCTCCATTGATTTGCTGAATATGAGTATATCGTCCAGATAAACAACAACAAACAGGTTAATCTGATGGCGGAACACTTTGTCCATGAGACTTTGAAAGGTGGCTGGTGCATTCGTGAGACCGAAGGGCATGGCGGTAAACTCGTACAGCCCATCGCGAGTTTTGAATGCGGTTTTGTGCTGGTCGGCAGGATCGACTTCAATCAGGTGATAGCCAGACTTGAGATCGATCTTGCTGAAGACTTTGCACCCACCTGCAGCATCAAGCAAATCATCGATGCGTGGCAAAGGATATGCATTCTTTCTCGTAATCCGATTCAATCCGCGGTAATCAATACACATCCGCAATTTGCCTCCTTTCTTAGGGACAAACAGCACTGGTGCACCAAACTCAGACTCACTGGGTTTGATCCATCCCTTCCCAATCATCTCATCAATCTGCCTTCGCAACTCCTCCAATTCGCCTGAGCCCATTCGATAGACGCAACCCTTTGGAGGAGTACTACCTTCAATCAACTCGATCTTGTGTCGGACCGGACGCACGGGAACTCCATGTGGTTCGGCCAAGACCTCAGGGAATCGGTTGAGAAGGTTGCGAATTTCTGGTGGAACTTCCGGAGCGGGATCAGCACTCTCAGGAGCAAGCATATCAGATGTCATAGGTGCAGCCAATATGACAGGATTAGAGGTAGAAGTGGTTGCATCCGAGGTGGAAACAGCATGCAAAGTAGAATCATTATGTACAGCAAAAATAGAAGGCACATGAGCAGGCCTAACAAAGACCATATACATTTGTTCATTGGTTTTGCGTCTGCGCCACTTTTTGCAGAATTGCATTGCATTGAGAAAGTTCACTTGGGACTCGCGCGGCTCATCCAAGAGGACTGGTCGCTCGATTCCCATGGCATCTTTGACCATGAATTGTGAGTCATTCCACGTGGTTCTTTCACATTGGGCCTGCAACCAACCCAAGCCAATAACCGCGTTGAAGGGGCACTGATCAAGGACATAGAAGTTTAATTCATGCGTGATTGTGCGGTCGGCGTCAAAGGTCAAAGGTAGTGCGCACACCTTTGACTGCATTCGTAGATATGACAACCTCTTGGTTGCCTACTTGGGTCCGACAAGGATTCTACAGAGTCACTTGTTTCATCCCCAAGCGTGCCTTACGAATGCCGTGCGGTGAGACGTAGTTAGCAGTTGCGCCACAATCAGCCAACGCACGGATGTAACGGCCATTAATGTAGAGTTTGAAGAAAATCAGCTTCGTTCTCCCTTGCGCGCGTTCTTGCTTCATATGAGCCCAGCGCGTCAACAGAGCATGGAAGTCAATCTCTCCCGACTCTACCCAAGACTCCTTGTATAGGATGTGGATCTTCTCAGCCTTGGAATCAGCATCAGATGGGGTTTCAGAAGAGGTTTGCTGAGTGAGATCAGAATCCAAAGAAGAATTTGTACTTACATGTTCCGCCTCTCCACCTATAGAGTGTGCTGATGATGCCTCTACCCGCGTTGCTGGTTTCGCTGCTGCAATCTGAAACATTGTTGGACTGAATGTCCCGGTTTGGTGCAATGCAGGCAAACTCCTTTCTTCACCCTGTTCTTCCACTCACTTTCACTAATCTGGAGATCTACCCATGGTTTTGTGGCAGGATCTTCCGGTTTGGGTGGAATCTTTGCTCCCTTGGGAAAAAGGATAGTGTTAGTGTTGTTCTTCATCGTGGTCCTCGGTCCCTTTTAAAAACATTCATAGATTCTTCGTCATTTACGTACTCAGACTCATGGGCTGACAAAGAGTAAGAAGCCCCGCAGTCTTGCTCTTAATCGTCATCAAGAGAAGATTCATCCACGAGGGTCTCCTCGTCAGCCTCAAGCAGATCGTGTGCTGCAAAACGGTTGTTGCCTGGAAACCGTTTGCGGCTAGTGGCCTTTTTGCCACTTGATCCACCCGGGAGGTCTTGTGGCTCCAGCTTGACTAAGTCCCGCATGAGGGTAAGCCAATCTGTATATTCGCTGAGGCCGAGCCCTAGGCGATCTTTTAGAGTAGAGGGGACCGTACCTTTTATCACATCCAGACAGGACTGTGCCGTCATCTCCAAATGCGGAGTAGCAAAGAGCTTACTAACATACTGCTGCAGGTTGTGCATGGTGCCGGTCCACTTGCTATGCTTGAGCTTGTCAAGCTTGAGTCTTGCTTTAGCTGCAGCATGTGGATCAACATATTGTTTGATCAAGAGATCCTCAAGTGCGGTAGTAGGCGTAGCCTTCAGCCATTTGTTCAGGTCTATTCTCTTGTAGGCTGATTGGACAGCTTGGGTTTCCAGAAACCCCTCACGACGGGCTCCACATTGGTCCCCAGGATAGACGACTAAGTGGACGGGGGTGTCCCCAACACATCAAAGTAGGATCGCATGGAGCTGATCCAAGACTCGACGTCGTCCTTTCCGTCATACTTGGACGGAATCTGCGCCGCCTTCCCGTCGATGTAAGCAAAGTTGCCGCCTGGCCCAGCCATTGCTGGATCCGGACTCGGGACTGCAGCAGTTCCAGAATTCCCTGCACTACCACTTGCTGCTGCAGCAGCAACAGCAGCGGCGGCAGCGGGGTCTGGACTTGCTGCATATCCGCTTTGGCTATTAACCACACTCAAAGAAGAAGAAGAAGTAGTAGAAGAAGAAGTAGACATGGTCAGAGGGGCAAAACTGAACTGACACGTAGCATTGGAAGCAGGGTAGGTGAGTGGAGAGACGATCTGAGCCTGCTGCGAATTAGCAAACTGTTGCAGTTGATCGCGGTGCTGCTGCGCTGGCCATGTCTTCGCGCAACTCCTTGAGCTGCTTAAACACCTGTGCGAGCTGGCCAGTATGATCCTCAGCAACCCGGACCCCTGCTAAGGCTCTGAGGAAGGGAACCGTTTTCTCCTCTACCTCCTCATCGATCAGAGCGGACACGGTGCTAAGGACGGCCTCGTGAGCCTGCACCTTATCCCTTTTCTCTCTCTCTTTCTCTTCCTCCTCCCTCTTCAAGGTTTTCTCATAGAAGAACTGATACTGCGGTTTTTCTGCCTCAGGGGCAGCGTCCATCTGCAGTTTCCAATCTGCCGCAGATGCCATGATGGAGGATGAGGGTGTCAGTAAGACTCTCAAAAGGGGTCCGTACTTCCTCTCAGCTTTGTGACGAACGCTCCTCTTCCCTCTCCTCACTCCCTCAAGAGCAACACTCAATAGCTTCTCTCTTCTCTCTCTCTCTCTTGTTTGCGACCGTGTAGACGCAGGCATTAAAGAATCCGATGAAAGAAACAGCGTGAACTCAGTCAGAAGAGAAGGTAGAACTCCTAGCCGGAGCGGCAATTCATTTGGACTGGAGAGCAATCATCAAAACAAAAAAAGAAGATCAGAGAGATCTGATCCAGCCACACAGTCTGGACTGACTATGTATGGGGTCCTCCCAAGCCTAGCCAGCCTCAGCTCCGTGAAAACACAACAAATCAGATTCAAGATGTACAGCGAAATGCAAAAGAGAATTGAGCGGTGTATAAGGTGCGAGTCAGGCGGCGGATCGTGCGGTAAAGTCTGATAAAACGTCACAGCGGAGATCCCCTCCGCAACGAGTGTCCTGGTCCGAAAGCATAAAGTCCGAGTCCCAATCAGATAGAGCAAGGTAACTGACGTCAACAGATTTGGCCTGAGGGGCCCTTCTTGTTTGGGCCCGGTCCCACTGAGTCCCAAATGGTCCCAGTGGAGTCAGAACCGGGTCCCAACCAACAAGAGTTCCACAGAGACCTACTCTGTCCCTACTGAATTGAAAAACGAAATTTTGCCCCAGAAAGAACCTGTAGACTACAGCCGTTCAGAATGAAATAAACAAAGCACTGTAGAGAGATATCACATGGCAAACAAGATACTTCATTCATTCACTCGTCAGGTAGTAGGCAGTTCAGTCACCTCACACACAATCAAGACTATGGAGGATGGAAGAAGAACCCAGAGAACCCCAACAGGCAGTCAATTCCATGCACACACACATGGGCACCCTAGTGGCACGACACTTACTTGAGTGGTCGGGCTCTTGAGATGAAAAGAATTCACCCCCCTCTCACATAGTCCTCCTGACCCAATTAGCATCCTCTACACTAGTGTCCTATCATCTAGGAGGGTCAACATCTACCCCAAAGTACAAAGCCGGAACCCCCGCCGATGTTGAAGATCAAAGCAGCAACTTGCAGTCCGTAGGTGCAGATATGGCTGCCACCCTCAAGCTCGCCCACTTGAGGGGAGCCCTAAAGTCACTCCTCGTCTTCCCTGAAGTCCAGATTCAAGTTGTAGGTGCCCTTCACTGTCGCCTCTCTCAAATTGCATCACGAAGTCCCACCTTGTGTCTTGCCACCACAAACATGCACTCAAGCAACCTGGTCGGGTCTAGTGTCGAACCTACACGGCCCTGCCAGGTGGGAGCAGCTTCCCTTTACCACGCTGCCCCACTTAACCCTAACTTCCAGCCCTAACCCTAAGTGGTTAGCCCTTACCACTAGGGTTAGGGTTATGGCAGCAAAGTCAACTCTCGCCAACAAGTAGAATCCGCTCTGATACCAATGTTACAATCCTGGCCAATTTCAAAGTCCACAATCATCAGAAAGTACAATGTTGTCCAATTGCGAAAAGAAATGAATGAACTTGAGCCCAATGTCGTCCAATTGCAAAAGAAATGAAAGAACTTGAGAGGAGAGAGAGGGAAAGAAGAAGAAAAAGAATTAAAAAAGAAGAAAGAGATGATGTACTCCAGCATAGACCAAAGACAAAGCTCTTCTTCTTCGCTCAACAACCTCCTCCTCTTTATCTCCTCCTCTCTTATTCAAACAATAAATAAACAATAATAATGTTGAACAGCTGAACCAGAATCAATGTCTGAATCCCACTTCYACTGCAGGCATAAGATRAGGTCCACCATAGCCATGGCAGTYCTTCTTCTTCCTCCACATACAGGCCGAGGCTATGGTGGACTACTGAGGCTTCAGCTTCCTGTGCAACGGACAACCCAAAGCAGCTATGTCGCTGCCCCACTTCAAGGTCATCACCAAGCRGCTATACCCCTGCTCACTCTCAACCACCATGCCTGACTCTGTCCCGAGCTTCCTTGATGCGGCACTACCCCCACYGGGGCCTTCCTGATGCAGCGCCTAGCAAGGAGATGAAGATGGTGTCTACCATAGCCAGTAAGTACCTCGCCACTCTCCTCCTTGGTCCCCTTCTCCCTCCTCCTCSTACCGGCAGAGCTCCACCATAGCCAAGGTGGAAGCTCCCGGCTTCTTCCTCCCAGCAACGCTGTAGTGCCCAGCGCTCCTCCACCTAGCGCTCCAGCAGCGTGACGCCCAACTCGCACACTGAAGAATGRGGCTGGGCTCTCCGCCCTGCCTCTTGATATAGCGGCCTACTTGCCTCCTGGGCGGTGACTTCCAGGCCGCTCGGCCTCTCCAAGCAACCGGTACTTCCTCCGTTTCAGAGGGAAACATCATTGCAGACTCTGATATTGCCCGTACAGGCTCTAGACTTAGACTGGTTGGACTGGTACCGGCCTAGACCTACCCTACCGCTACTGGACTCTAAGAATGTCAACTTTGTCTTTTTCTGCTCGGCCTCCAGTACCCCTCACGCCAACTGCAGTGGGGTGCAGTATCGGCCTAGCGGCCTACTTGAGTGTTTTTCCGCTACCCCAAGGCCCTCAGGGTCGCTAGCTTCGCCACTTGAGTGTTTTTCCCTGCTACAACCCTCAATGCCACGGCCACAGGTAAGTACCGGCCCTACGGGCCTGCCAAACAAGCAAGTACCCTTGCGGGTCCCACACACACTCACACCAACAAGCACTCAGACAGGCATGCAGGTCACAAGCACGCACACACAGACAGACTTAGAAAACACAGCAGAATGCGGGAATCTCAGCAAGGCATCCATTCCATCGGCAGAACTTCAGAAATCAGCAGTGTTCTCAGTCTGTGTCTTGACGGGTCATTACATTTCGTAAAAGGAAAGTTTGGTAGGTGAAGTCCGAAAGAGGAAAGTGGTTGTTGTCCAGGAGGCCGTGGGTGGACCTCACGAAATGGCCGTGCCGGGGTCCCATGTTCCACGGACGTCAGACAATGCATGGACGAACAATCCATGGTCCGTCCACGGGACCTGGTTTTGGAAAAGTTCAAGACGGCTCAGGGGGCCAACCTCGGCTTTCGGCACAAATTTGCGGAGAGATCTCCTCCATTCGCCGATTTCCAGACCATGGACGATGTGAAAACGTCCACAGGTGATCTTCCAGGCCATGAAATGCGGGCTGTGGGGTCCCGGAATATGGTTTTTGGAAGCCATTTCAGCGAAATTCGGCCTTTCCATAATCGTTTTCGCGAGGTGTGGGGTCTCGGAAACACTTCCGCGGCAAACTTTTTCCTCTCTGCATTCCTGTGGGGTCCGACCCTAAGTTGTTTTTCCTGATATCCGGAGGTGCTCCATGAAGGGAAGGGGGAAAATCGCAGCTCCAAGGGACAACGGAGACCCGGGAAGAGACAAGTATCACCATAGCCCTAGGAAACAACAATCACCAATATCTGTATTGTATGTTGTACCAATGGGACGCTGGACTCGGTTTCCAGCAGGTGCCGCTCCCCACCTATAGATGGAGCAGCCCGACAGATAAGCCCTCAATTTTGACGGTTCTCTTACCACCGCCAGGATAGAGGGATATCGCAAGGGGTTTTTAAAAAAAAAAAAAAAAAAAAAAAAACGACCATCCGGAATATCTGGCCGGAAAAAAAAAATAGCCGCAGGGCTTCTTCCTCGGGTCTAGGGCTGCCAACTTCCGCCGCCAAGGGGTTTTGATCAACCCTTGGCAGCACCTCGCTGTGATGGATCCTGAGAGGGACCCAGAGATTTCGTTAAAAAAAAACGGCCCGATCTGGCCCGTCAGTCCACCCAGATCGACGGCCTAGATCGGGCCAATGTTGAATTCGAAATCGGACTGCCCCGCTGCCCCGCTGTTACGCTGTTGCAGGCATAGTTGCCGCCGCTGGAGTCGTCGCCGGGAGTTGCTCCTCCTTTACCCGTCACTAGGGTGAGCCTCCTCTTCCTACTCTTTCTCCTTCTCCTCCTTCCCTCCTCCTCTTCCTCATTTCACCTCCTCCTCCTCCTCCGCCTCCTCTTCCACCTCCTCCTCCTCCTCCAAGGCCTTGTCTTCACCCTCCTCCTCCAGGGCCTTGTCTTCCACCTCCTCCTCCTCCTTCTCCTCCTCCTCCTCCTCGTCTTCCGCCTCCTCTTCCTCCTCCTCCTCTACCTCCTTGGCTTCCCACTCCTCCTCTTCCTCCTCTTCCACCTCCTCTTCCTCTTCGCCTTCCTCCTCCTCGTCCTCCTCCTCCTCCACCTCGTCCTTCTCTTCCTTGGCTTCCTCCTCCCCCTCCTCCTCCTCCTCTTCCTCCTCGTCCTCCTCCTCCTCTTCCTCATCCTCTTCTTCCTCGTCCTCCTCCTCCTCTTCCTCCTCCTCTTCTTCCTCGTCGTCCTCCTCCTCGTCCTTGTCCTCTTCCTCCTCCTCATCCTCAAAATTCACAGATCTTGTAAATCCATTCATGAGCGAGGAAGAGGAGGAGGAGGAGGAGGAGGAGGAGGAGATGGAGGAGGAGGCGGCTGGCTCCCCTCCCCCGCCTTTTTTTTCTTTCAATCAATCAATCAATCAATCAACCATCCAAGATCCGTCTATTTCGACGGATCTTTCCATTGAAATCAACGGATCTTGAATGAATGAATGAACGAATGAATGAATGAATGAATGAATGAATGAATGAATGAATGAATGAACGAATGAATGAATGAATGAATGAATGAATGAATGTCATTGGATGAATGAATGAAGGAATGAATGAAGGAATGAATGAACGAATGATTGACTGATTGATTGATTGACTAAAAAAATGATTGATTGATTGATTGATTGATTGATTGATTGATTGATTGATTGATTGCGAGAAGAAAAAAAAAACAAAAAAGTTGGAGGGGAGGGAGCCAGCCACTACCCCGGCGTAGTCCTCCTCTCGTGCTCCTCCTCCTCCTCCTCCTCCTCCATCGCCTCATTCTCCTCCTCCTCCTCCTCCTTCCTCTATCACCTCCTCCTCTTCCTCCTCCTTGTCCTCCACCTCCCCCTCCTCCTCTTCCTCTTCCTCCTCCTCCTCCCCCTCCTCCTCTTCCACCTTCTCCTCGTCTTCTTCCTCCTCCATCGCCGCCTCCTCCTCCTCTTCATCCTCCTCCATGGCCTCCTCCTTCCTCCTCCTCCTCCTCCTCGACCTGGTCTTGTCATCTTTACACCGACGGGCAAAACACAGCACCTCATTTTTTGGGGGTAATGGCGGGATTAACATCTTTTGGAACAGGCTGACACAAGGCCTGACAATGGTAATTGGGTGTGTCTCTAAGTGCTGCAGGATAGAGGCAGGGGTATTGTCTCTAGAATTGATGGAGGCCTTGCAAGAATTCTATGCGAAAAATCCATTTTGGCGGCAGGCTACAAGGACAACAGATTTGGACCTCAGAACCTTAAATGTGAATGGGTTGGCCACATCAGACGCGGTCAAAAGGAAAGTTATTTTAGAGCAATTTAAGGGAGTAGGGGGCCGTACTTGGCCAGACATACAAGAAACTCATCTAACGGAGTCTCCAACACACACTAGAATCCATAACCTAATATGGCCCTTCCAGAAGGTATATGCCTCAGCTCGGAGGAGTGGGTCTGGAGGAGTGGCCATTTGGGTTCCCCCGGACTCAAGGGCAGAAATTGTGCATTGGGTGTCAGACAAGGACCAGGGACGGTGAGTCTCGGCGTTGGTAATGCTAGAATTGGAAATAGTGTGTGTTATTAACGTCTATGGACCAAATGATGTTCAAGAGAGGGTGGATTTTTTCCAAGAGATTATGACTCAAATTCCAAATGGAATTTCAGTCATTATAGCAGGGCACTTCAATGTAGCCCCTGATAGATGGTTGGATAGATGGAATCTACCTTCTCCGTGTCCGCCCTACATAAAAGAAGACGACAATATCATCCAAAGTCTATGTGAGGCAGAATATTTATTTGACACATACCAGAAAATATTCCCACAAGGACGTTTGTTTACGTGTATCCGTAATAGTGGAACCCCTCATCAATCTAGATCCAGGATAGATCTCATACTTATGTCTGAGGATCTAGATAGAGCGCTGGTATGGGCTGTCATTTTTCCTCAGAGTCCATGTCCAGGTGCAGACCATAAGATGTGTGCGGTGCTACTAACCTTTCGGAAAAAAACAGATCAATGGAGAGGATTTTACAATTTGAATACCTCCTTGCTAACACAAGAACAATTCATACAATATGTTCGTGATATCTGGATTTTTTGGCACACAACCAAGAATCATCATGATTTACTCATTGACTGGTTTAATTGTGGTTTGGCCTTTCTGGCAAAAAAAATGCAATGAATACTCAAAGTTACAAGCGAAAATTCGATATCTTCAAGAATTTAATATCTCAATTACGAACTACAAGATCAACCCAATGAGGGAAAAACACTCAAGTGGCGAAGCTAGCGGCCCTGAGGCCCTTGGGGTAGCGGAAAAACACTCAAGTAGACCGGTAGGCCGATACTGCACCCCACTGCAGTTGGCGTGAGGGGTACTGGAGGCCGAGCAGAAAAAGACAAAGTTGGCATTTTTAGAGTCCAGTAGCGGTAGGGTAGGTCTAGGCCAGTACCAGTCCAACCAGTCTGAGTCTAGAGCC